GCCAACAAGGGTATCTTCAATAGCGTGTGCCTATTTGCAGCCCAGAGTAAATTTTTGGGATTGAGATATTGAAAATAATAATAGATGTTAGATGGGTGCAGCATTTGAAGCCAGGGAATCAATATTCAGTTAGCCTAAATAACTAACTTGACTAATTTTAGCAATCTTAATAAAATGCCTAGACATGGTATTACATAAAATATGTAATCCAAGGCAGCCTGATTGTCATAATCCTGATATGTCCAGTGCTATGGTTTTATCTTCCAAACTTTTTAAACTGTGATTATATTTCAAAGGATAATGTCCCTTTCAGAGGACTTTAAACGTCTGTGTCTGAGGAAAAAAAAGATGTTTTGTTTCATTATGAATGTAGAGGACTGACTTGATACATGTTCTTTTTTAGTCCAGATTAAGCAGATGTCAAACTATTTGTAGAATTAATTATATGTCGCTTATTTAAAGTACACAGACAAATAGCAGCAGCAGTAATCAGATAGCAACCAGCTGTATAAGAACTAGATATTTTTATTACTTAATCAAAACATAGTAAAATAGACACTGCTGGTTGTGTAACCAGTATCTGTAGTTCTTTTGCACAGGTCTGTCTTGTACTGTGTGGTGTAAACTTGTGTAAAGTGCCATTTGACTTTGTTTAAAGTGTAGAGAACTTGGTGAAAAAAAATCACAAAAATGTTCAACCAGTGATGCTTCTTGCCAATTTAGCAGGACAAAGAATGCACTTCAGTTTAAGAGCAAGCTGTAGCTTGAGAAATCTTTTAACATCTATTTTTATCTTTGATAAAGTTATCTATAGTTTTACAAAGGAAAAGGGACAAAACAAAAACAAACAAACAAAAAAAACACATAGCAAAGCAACACACAGATTAACAACAACAATGGAGTGAGTATTTCCAGTCCAGGCTTAAAACTAAATATAATGGAAAGTGAATAACCAGCAATAAAAACAATGTCCACAAATAATCGAGGGTCAAGTTTGGAGCGTCTGCCTCACTGTGAAATGCATGATCTGAAGCAATGATGGGTAGAATGGCAGCGAATGCTGGTTTGTACTGTCTGCTCCTACTAGAGACCTCTTTCCCATCTGTGTCTTAATACTTTGCACTCTTTAAACATTAGTTATGAACTTAGTCCATATTGTTACTTCAATGTTAAAGATTGGTAAACTGAAGCTGAGAGGTTAAGTGATTTGTCCTAGATTGCACACCAAGCAAATGCCACAACCAGGATTAAGAACCCAGGCCTCCTAGATGCAAGGCTGATGCCTAATCCACTAACCAGATTTACTCCCAAATTCTATTCTCTAATGTAATTAAAATCAACAAGTGTCAGAGGTGAGAATAGAATTTGGGATTCCCTGGCTCTCAGCATTGCGCTTAGTGCACTAATCCAGAGGTGTCAAACACTCAGCCTGTTCAACATGTTGCAGTATTTTTCAGAACCTACAGATCTGAAGGTTTTTGTTTGTTTGTTTGTTTTGTTTTGTTTTTTAGAGTAAGTCTCTACATAACAATGGCCACTCTGGGTCAGACCAATGGTCCATCTAGCCCAGTGGTTCTCAACCTGCAGCCTGCAAGTTGCTTACAGCCCAATCAGCACACAGCTGTGTCCCATGTGACATTCTCAGGGCTATACAGATAGTATATATATTGTGTGGATGCAGCCTACATAATACATAGAGAGCTGCATATGTGGTCCGCAATGGTAAATAGGATCAGAACCACTGATCTTGCCAAGTATCCTATCTTTTGACAGTGGCCAATGCCAGGTGCTTCAGAGGAAATTAACACACCAGGTAATGATATCCTATCTCCTAGAACTGGAAGGGACCTTGAAAGGTCATCAAGTCCAGCCCTCTGCCTTCACTAGCAGGACCAAGTACTGATTTTGCCCCAGATCCCTAAGTGGCCCCCTCAAGGAGTGAACTCACAACCCTGGGTTTAGCAGGCCAATGCTTAAACCACTGAGCTATCCCTCCCCCCATATCAAGTGATCCATCCCCTGTTGCCCATTCCCAGATTCTGGCAAACACAGGCTAAGGACACTTCAGGTTTTGCATCTCTGCCCATCCTGGCTAATAGCCATTGATGGCCCTATCCTCCATGAACTTTAGTTCTTTTTTGAACCCTGTTATAGTCTGGGCCTTCACAACATCCTCTGGCAAATAATTCCACAGGTTGACTGTGAGTAGTGTAAAGAAATACTTCCTTTTGAGTGTTTTAAACCTGCTGCCTATTAATTTCATTTGGTGACCCCTAGTTCTTGTGTTATGAGAAGGAGTAACTAATACTTCTTTATTTACTTTCTCCACACCAGTCATGATTTTATAGACCTTAATCATATCGCCCCTTAGTCATCTCTTTTCCAAGCTGAAAAGTCCCAGTTTTATTAATCTCTCCTCATGTGGAAGATGTTCCATACCCTAAATCATTTTTGTTGCCCTTTTCTGAACCTTTTCCATTCCAATATATCTTATATGAGATGGGGCGGTCACATCTGCACGCAGTATTCAAGATTTGGGCGTACCATGAATTTATATAGAGGCAATATGATATGGCTCTAGCCCTTATGGGTTATATAGAAAATCTTCCAAATATGACTTCTGCGGAGTTGTCTTCCTGAGTCTGCAGACAATCTGGAACAATGGCTCTGAGAAGTGTGAACTTCCCCACCCCATTGATCTCATTGGATATGAACGCTAAAGCCTATGCGGGTCCTGGCCTCCTGAAGTGATAGGAAAGGATCTGAAAGCTATCTTTGAATTGGTGGTGGCAGTAAAGGCATGAAAACCACTGACTTTTGTAGAAATATTTGACCACTGTTTTTGCCCTTATAAAGGAACTAACCATTCTGAAGCATCAGAAAAGAGTTGTCTTCCTGATGATGGAACAGCTGTTAAAGGCTAGCCTAACTACACAATAGGCTTATAGCAGGCTATCAGCTGTTGCATATGTCCATTCTAGGCTAATGCAATTTCAAAAGCTTTGCATTATCTACACTGCAAACACGTGTCCATTACTGTTCACAAAGCTGCTGCGGCCCAATCCCCCCTCCCAGAGGTGGGATGAGGTTGCGCCCTTTAAGTTTCTGCTATGAATCCTGAGGATGCTGTCTATGTTGCCTCCCCATTCATAATTTTCTATTTATCCTTACCCTTTGGGACACCACATTGCGGCTGTTATCCTGCAAGCTAAAGATTCCTTCATGCCACTCCTCAGTCATCCAGAAAGGTTGCTTTTGAGGGGTGGATTTGCTCTTTTATGCTGGGCTGAACACTCTGTATTGCTTTCAGCATGCTGTACACCTGCTAGCCAGGGGGAGCAGCTGCAGGTTTTTATACCTATTTATCCATGACTTTATATCTCAGTTTTTGATTGAGATAGTAATGAATTATATTAATTTTTGTCAAATATAGGCCAGTTCTTTCTGGAATTAAAGACGTATCTCTGATTGTACAAACACTTGTGTGGGTGAATTATTGTTTGCACAGATGTAGCCCTACTGAACTCATGTAAGCATGTGCAGGAACACGACCTTAGTTATTGCAGACTGAAAATCTCACATCCTAAACTGCCTTCCACTGGCATTCTACTGGGGGGGGGGATTATATTTAAAATTTTTGCAAACAAATTGCTTCCTGATCTTTGTTCATAACAAGCAAGTTCTCTGATCAGTTCCACATATCTGACTATTTTCTCAGTTGCAGTTATATTGAAGTCTCCTTATTAGTATCTGGAAATTGTATATTATATATTGTGTGTATATATATATATGTTATATACTGGGTAAAGACTTGCATCAGAGGGATTGATTAATGCACTTGATGCCTGTTTACCATTGGAAACGACTATATTTAAAATTAAGGGTTCCCTTATGACTTTTGAAAAAGTGATATAATAAAATTAAGGTCCTAAGTTACTTTGTTTCCCAAGAACATTTAGTACATTTTAAAATACTTTGTCTTTCTATGTTTTTAGCTTTATTGACAATTCAAATAATTTTGAGTCTGTTTTGTATCAAGTTGCACTTAAAAAAAACAGACACTTTTTGAAGTTCAGAAAAAGCTTTATATAGGAGAGAAACTGATACAAGCTGGAGAATGTATACAGTTCATGTCTGGGGATCAACAAAGCCTTAAACCTAAATTCATGGTGCTCCAACATGATTTTGGAACAGAGAAGGTAACACTTAGTATTCAATTGGAACCTACCTTTTCTGCTGTTGCAGAACATTCCATTCTAGAGAATGGAGTTAGCCATTGTAGACATTGTCTTTTTAGTTCTCGTTTGAAAGTTCCAGTATGTATGCTTCTGCTTCGCGTTCTTCTCAAACACCAGAAACAACATTATTCTGATTTCAGAATATTGAAAAGTTTTTGCTTTCAGTGTCTTCTGGATGTCATTCCAGAATAATGCACTGTATTGGAATATAGTCACAATGTATCCACCATGCAATGGAGTTTTAAGTTATATGCAGACAATTACAAAAATAACTTTTCTGACCCCCTCCTCCGTGACTGCCTACATAGAAACAAAATAGTTACTGTAATAGCAGTTGCAAACCCCTTCCTGCCATATCACCATGAGCACAATTTCATGTAAGTTCTGTGTCACTGCTTAGCATGTTTGTATATTAAAAACTTACGGTAGTGTCTGCTTTTATGTCCAACGCAATTGTGGGTCATCCTTTGCAGCTCTATACAATTCAGCTACCCCCTGCTGGTGAGTGAAGCAGAAGAATGTCTAGGTATACCATAAGGAGGGTCAGTATCCCCATATAAAACTGGAATTAGAGCATACATTAGTGTATTACACATGCAGAATTCTGTCCTACTTTAGTCCTAGTCTCAGCTTGTCATGTTATGACATTTATATATGATCATATATATGTTTCACTGGAAATTATATACTATGGCTGAATTAAGCAGGGATGTCTTTTTAAAGATTACTTTTGGCATTAGTATACTTTTTCTGACTCTTCAGGATGTAGACTTGGAAACTGGTCAGGAAGCTTTGGATTACTATTATCCGCATAAAGGAAGTGAACAATCAGAATCACAAGAGGGGGAGGAGAAGATAAAGCAGGTGAATGAAGAAGAAAATGAAAAAAAGGCTAAACCTGAGGGGGAAGAGAGAGAAAATACAGATTCTAGCACTGAGGTAAGTGTAATGATACAAAAAAAACACACAACCTCTGGGTAAATGGTTTATCATTCGTTCTGTGAGTGCTATTAGGAAAATTAGTAAAGAGGCAATGTCTGGATGATATTCTGTAAATATGACATTCCCAATCTCCTCTCAAAAGTTAAGCTCCTTTACAAATATGGTTTCACCTTGAAACATTCTAATCCTTCCAAAATCAGTCATCTTAAAATTAGTTTTTATTTTATTCTGTTCATTCTAGTTCTGAAGACAGCAGACCTTCCCTCTCCAAGCTTTCAAAGTTAGCCACATAAATATTTGAGACAAGGATGCTAAATTATGCTGATTTCATATAGATGGTGCTTTATGCTCACAGGATTCAGTGTTAAGTAGGATTGGTCCCTAGGGGATTAAATTTTGGATGACTTGGTTGCCAATATCCAAGCGTTGTTGTATATTGAAGGAGGGGGGGGGAATTACACTAAGGATGGTTGCCACATTTTACAGTTACACTAAAGCATGGACTTAAAATCAAGTAGGCACTTTTGGTCTATGTTTCTTTGCAATCTGCAATAAAGGGATTGCTCCTTCTTTTCCACATGAGAGCTGAGAATTTAATTTCCAGTCATTTCGCCAGCAGCCCCTGCCTGTCACTACCAAATCTGTTTTCAACCTTTACTGGACTTAGAGGCTTCAAACGTGTTTCTACTGTTTGTCAGGATAGCGGGTGCAGCTTCATCAAGGAGGAAAGCACAAGCACTCCGTTTGTGGGGCAAATGTGATGCTTTTAGTTGTAGGATCATTCTGCTCCTCCTAACAGCATAGCATTTCCTCTTCCAGATGAAGGCTCTATGCAGGGCCAACAGCTCCAGCGCATCTCACTATATTGCACTGTTCCAAAGCAGCAGGAAGTTAAGGAGAGCACCTGGGCTCTTTTGTACTTCTGGCAGCTCCATCAAGGGCTTGAGGGACACCTTAAATTTTAATGGGATTACAGTGTTCCACCTAAAACTTCAACCTAAAGATGCTACTGACTGGTAGTGTGGCATCTGTGTGATGGTGGAGATGTGATAGAAAGCCAAGATTTGCTTAGGTTTTTGTATATTTCAGACCCTTGCTCAAAATTACAAACCATTGAATCTGCATTAGCTGATTTGCACTCATTTGTGTCTGATGGTTAGAGCCGACTGGACTGAAACCAGAGTGGGAGGAGCAAGGGAGGAGAGGGAGCTCTCCCTCTGTTTTTAGCAAAGAAGGGACTGTGCTCCCTTCCCCCACAACCCTTACTTTACCCCTTGTTTGTCTCTAAGAATTGTGCTTTTAAAAGTATTTTTGTTTCCTCCACCACAGAGCAACAGAAATTCCATAAATTCCTTTCCCTTCTTGGAGGACTATTTGCTGCTGCAGTCATCACAGACAGAAAATGCACGAGAGGTAAATGTGAAATCTCGAAGCTGTATTAGGCAATGGATTACAACTGGTATAGTTGGATAATTGGGATAGTCCATTTAATTTAATTAAAGAGTAAGCAGAGAGTATGTCACCAAGTCAGTTCAGTAATTTATCTGAAAACTGTTGTAAAAAGCTATTCTGGTCATTACCTTTTAGCATAGTCATTACTTACCAGCTTCCTGAATCTGTAAAATTACATAACTTATTATTTGAAAACTGTTTAAAAATTCCAGTTCTTCCCAGTGCCCCTTGATAATATTCAACAAGGCAGTTTATCTATGTAAAATAGATAAACTCATGCTTTTTCCAATTTATTACCAAATGTTGACAGTATTTTCACACTCTGTGTTTAGCAACCATGGGCCTTTTAATTGCTAACAGTTTAAAAAAACAACAACAGATCTTGAAAAACTTCCGTGTTTCTTTTAAGAGCATAATTGAAAACACCAGCTCTACCTCCCAGTCTACAGCAGGGCTAGTACGTGATAACTTCATAGAAGAAATATGGCAAGACTTTCTTCTGTCACCTGAGCTACAGGTAAGTGTAGTAGAGAACTTTAGGTATATATATTGTTCTTCTAAAAGTATACTCACATCTGACTTGTGCAAGTGCATCTGAGGCTAGGTCTACACTACCCGCCTGAATCGGCGGGTAGAAATCGATCTCTCGGGGATCAAATTATCGCGTCTTGTCGGGACGCGACAATCGATCCCCGAATCGATGCTCTTACTCCACCAGCGGAGGTCGATTTTGCCGCCGTCCTCACAGCAGGGTAAGTCGGCTCCGATAGGTCGAATTCAGCTATGCTATTCGCGTAGCTGAATTTGCATATCTTAAATCGACCCCTCCCCCCCCCATAGTGAAGACCTGCCCTGAGATTATTTGCTTAATGAGCTACAGTCTGATAAGCCCATTTGGATGTGAAAATATGTAGGCTTTAACTGTGTGGACACCTTGCCATACACTTCACAGTTGGTGAGGTGGAGAACATCGTTGGCTCCGTCTAGATGATGGAGCCAAGTATATGTCATCTGACTTTAAACAAATCCTTTCTACCATCCCCTTAAATAACCATTAGACAGAACTTCATAACCTAACATTTTTCTGTTCTGGAAGAGATGACATGTTATATGCTCGTTGGTTTATTCATAATACTTTTCTGTTTCAAATCCAGCTTCTGGCTCCAGACTTGGTTCTGTAACTGGACCGGTCGGTAGGTCTAATTTTGCTCTGTTATGTGTTTGTAAATCCCACTGTTTGCAAAGGGGGTTGCAGTTGCATAACTGAAAGCAGAAATAGGCCCTCACAATATGCAAAATATTGGGACAAGCATAGCTTCAGAATGTAAACAGATAAATCTGAATATCAGATTACATAAGTCTGCAAAATATTATAACCTCATTATTTGATAAAGGGTCTCTCCCCACTTCTCAGCTAATTTTTAATGCTTTAGAAATCCTATGTTACTAAAGTGTTATCTTTATGTACTGTGATATATTCACAACGAAGCACTGTACATAAACTAAGCTGTAAAGGAATCAGAGTTTATCTAAATTCTCAAACCTTACTTTATATTTCAAAGTATGTTTTGTGTCTAACTTTCCATAAATGTTACTAACATTTGGTACGTAACAGAGATTAAAGGGGGAAAATATTTCTTCATTTTTTTTTAATTTGTGCATTTGATAGTATTTTGTGTGCAGTGAGGTCTTTCCTCTGTTTGCCCTAGTCTTTTGCACAACAAGTTTTTTTTTCTTTCCAAAAGTAAGAAAATGTGGCTTAAAATGACATTTGCCAGATTTTGTCAGGGGCACATATAATACTTGAAACTACTTAATTAAAAAAAACCAACAGCTTTTAGTTAGTCTTCAGACTATTTTTTGAACATTGGACTTGATAAGAATCAGAGCAGCTACATTGAGTTCTAGAGACTGAATCAACAATTGACATAATTATTTTGTACTGTTAGGAGCTACAAAATATAACCAAGGTCTGTGTACTCTGCAACAGTGTGGATCTAAATGCCATGACAAGGTCTCTGGATTCTTTGGCACTCTAGCATATGGAAATTAGAGGTTATGCAGCAGTTTCATTTATATTGAAAGATAAAATAATAATGAATTCAATATGATAATGAATAATACAATCTTGCTTCCCCCTATTTTGTGTTAGCTGGAAATGCTAGAAGTTTTATATATAAATGTTGAAGGTGTTGATGGAGAGAGTAACCTGGAGGTTTTGACAGCAGGAGAGAGAACAGTTGGTGGTTTTAGTGGATGAGAAGGAAGGCAGTTTAAAGGTGTGTCTTTACTGTACAGTTAAGCCGTACTGTTACTCAGGTGTTGCCCCTAACACCTTTCTAATCCACACATACAAATATCTGACCTGAGTGTGATGGTGCTTTCAAACCGGGCTAGCTGTCCATCCTTCGGTATAGGCTAAAGTCCAAGTGATGCTTTCACTCAGGCTGGCCCCCTGCCCATTTTGCAGGGAGGACTCAGGCTAAACCACTAGAATGCTGGTAGTCCTTCAGTGCCTTCTCACAACTCCCCCCCCATCTGCCCAGAATGACAGACATGTTTTCCCACCATTCACTGGGAAAGACTCAGAGTAGCTCAGCTTGGTAAAGCACAAAGAACTATGGGACATGTCCCCAGAAGTCCTAGCAACACACATGAGTGAGTGCAGCACCAGTAAGGATACAGTAATTTGACTAAAGCAGGCCTGCACAACATGCGGCCTGGGGGCCGCATGCAGCCTGCGTGGGCTCACTGTGCGGCCCGCGGAGGTTGAGTAGGTGGGCTCACTGTGCGGCCTGTGGGGGGTTGAGTAGGCAAATGGACAGGCAGTTGCAGGGAGTGAGTCGGCGAGCCGGGGGAGGAGGGCTGAGGAGGTGAGCGGCAAATCGATGGCTGACCTGTTCTACTGATCTGGTCTGGCTCCCATCCCCTTTCCCAGGGCCAGCTCCAGGCACCAGCAAAACAAGCAGGTGCTTGGGGCAGCACATTTCTAGGGGCGGCATTCTGGCACCAGCCATCATAGGCGCCGACTCTGGGGCATGGGGAAATAGTGCCCCCCCCCCAGCTTGCCTCCACTCCGCCTGCTCCCCTGAGAGCGCCACCGCCACTCTGCTTCTCCCCCCTCCCTCCCACGTGCGAAACAGCTGTTTCATGCAGCAAGGCTGGGAGGGAGGACAAGCCGAGTGGCGGGACACTCGGGGGAGGCGGCGGTGGTGGAGCAGAGGTGAGCTGGAGCGGGGAGTGGTTCCTCTACCCCCCCCCGTTACTTCCTGCGCTCCCCACCCTAGCTCACCTCTGCTCCACCTGCTCCCCTAAATGCGCTGCCGCTCTGCTTCTCCCCCCTCCCTCCCAGGCTTGTCACGCGCAAAACCGCTATTTCGCGCAGCAAGGCTGGGAGGGAGGGAGGGAGGGAGGGAGGAGAAGCCGAGCGGCAGGCACTCGGAGGAGGCGACGGTGGTGGAGCGGGGAACAGTTCCTCTACCCCGCCCGTTACTTCCTGCTTTCCCCAACCCTAGCTCACCTCCGCTCCGCCTGCTCCCCTGAACGCACCACTGTTCCACTTCTCCGCCCTCCCTCGCCTGAGAGGGAGGGGGGAGAAGCGGAGCAGCAGCACACCCGGGGGAGCAGGCGGAGCGTAGGTGAGCTAGGGCGGGAGGTCACGGGGGGCCTGCAGGAAGCAATGGTGGGGGGGAAATGTGGCACACCGGGGGAGGAGGCAGTGCTGGGGATTTGGGGAAGGAGTTCAGAAGGGGTGGAGTTGCGGCGGGGCCGGGGGCAGAGGGGCACGAAAAAAAGGGGGGGCAGTCAAAAATTTTTTTGCTTGGAGCGGCAAAAATCCTAGAGCCCGCCCTGCCCTCTCCAAGTGTTGCAGCTGTCTGGAGGTGCCTGCCTTCCACGCCTTCCTCATTCATTCAACAGGGCAATTAATTATAAAGTGGGGGGGAAGATCTTATTCTACTTCTAGCAAAAAGACATTTTTCTTTTACCTTAATTATACTACCTTTGGGGCCCGCTATAACAAATTACCGAGGTTCAATACTACTGTTTCGGTGGGGTGACACTGGGGAAGGAGGGTTTGTTTCTGCGGGGCAGGTGGCGCTGGGGGGGGGAGAGGGGGGTGTTTTGGCAACGCTGGGGGGGGGGGTTGTTTTTGTGGGGCGGGTGGCGCGGTGTTGTGTTTTGGGTGGCGCTGGGGCGGGGTTGGTGGCTCTCGGGGGGTTTCGGCCCTCAGCTGTTTTCTGTGGAGTAATATGGCCCTCGCCACTTTATGAGTTGTGCAGGCCTGGACTAAAGCTTTGCAGTGTGGCTGCTCTTGCCTGGGCTAGGCTATCTGGATACTAATCACCTGAGTTATCTCTGCAGTGAGGACATACCCTGAGAGTGAGAGAGAAGCACATTGACTGGATTGGTCTTCCAGAATGATCAGTAAAATAGCTAATGTTGACATCTTAAAACTAAACAGGACAATTTACCAAGCCATTATGCTGAATGTGGCAGTTCATAACTCGCATAGCTTGTTTCAAGCTGTCGGCAGATTTGGGAAGACAGCACTGTAGTGGTTGGACTCTGCTCATGTTTTTAAATGGTTAGTTTCACAATGATGAGGGCTAAAAACATTTGTTTTTAATCTCTTAAATTTTAGAGGATAATTCTGTGTTAAGGGATGAAGGCTGTGGGAAATTCTACAGTCGTAGACTAGATAGACCCCATGTGTAAGTAGAAAATAGTTCTTCCAGACCACGTAATAGAAAAGTTTAGTGCTACGGTGGCTTCTAATAGTAGGGAGAATACTGAAAGAAAAAAGAGGAAATAAAAAAAGTGTGTAGGTATAGGTAAGGAATTTAGAAGTATTTACTTAGAAAAGTTGCTGATTCTATGTATTTTTTTCCATTTCCTTTTAGGAGATTTCACTGGGAGATTCTCAACCTGTTGCTAGTAGTAGTAGAGGCATGAATTCATTATCCTCTCACTACACTGTAAATTTGACCCAGGCTATTAGCCATGACGTTAGCCTCCGTGAAGCTATGTTACTGAGATCAAACCACAGCACTAGGGTAAATCCAGAAATAAGGAGTGTACAGAGACAAGAGTCGTTTCTGCAGTTAAATTCTAGCATCACAAACCCCGAATCATTACTTAATGGGACTAATTGGGGGTTATTTCCATCTGTTGACATTAGGAACCTAACAAACCAGGATCTTCTTTCAGACCTTGATGAGAACATATTTGATGAGATAAATCTAATGGCATTAGTATTGGAAGAAGGTTTTGATCCTATAGAAGTCTCTCAGCTTTTTGAAGAACCTGACTCAGATTCTGGACTTTCTTTAAATTCAAGCCAGAGCACAACCTCTTCAACCAATTCTGATTCATCATCTGTTCCAACCTGCAATGAAGGTGCCGTTGGATACAGTAGCAATATAGAATATATTTCCCACAATGGCTTAGGAACTGTAGGGGGTCGTTACCCAGAGCATAGTAAACACTGCCATATGGACTATCAAAGCAATTCAGACTATTGTGGGGAATCCACACTTCAACATATTTTTCATAACCACACTTACAATCAGTTGCCAAATGAATTAGTATCCACTTCTAAGAATCATTCTTCATCATCTGGGAAATCAAACAAAGTAAAGGGCAGGTGCCTCACAGATAATCTTAGCCAGGATGAATGCTATGTGAAAGCCTTGAGAATTCCATTTTCTGTAGATGAAATTGTGAGCATGCCTACTGATGTGTTCAACAACATGTTATCGAAGTTCTATCTGACAGATACTCAAATATCGCTTATACGTGACATAAGGCGAAGAGGAAAAAACAAGGTTGCTGCTCAGAACTGCCGCAAACGTAAACTAGATGTGATCCTGAACTTAGAAGATGATGTGTGTAAGCTTCAAGCCCAAAAAGAAAGCCTTAAGAAGCAGAAATCTCAGTGCAATAAATCAATTAGCCGTATGAAGCAAAAACTAAATGACCTTTATGATGTAATTTTTAGTAGGTTAAGGGATGACCAGGGCAGACCTGTTAATCCAAGCCAGTATGCTCTTCATTGCAGTAGTAATGGCAGGGTTTTGATAATACCTAAGAGACTGGTCACATCAGAACAGAAACAAGATAACCAAAAAGAACAGAAACAAAAATAAGTAATATTAAGATCACTACATTATTTAGAACTCATTCTGCTGACAGTGTGGTGAAGATAGTGGCATAAATGCTGGAGGCCAAGAATGCTTATGAACATGTTAAAAAAGAAAAGAGACCCCAACTGTAATATTTTGAGACTTGTGCATGTGGCCTGCATCTTTAATTATTGGGATGGTTTTTATATATAAATATAGTAAATTGTCAACACTTAGAAGCTACAGCAGTAAAAACGTGCTAGTTTGACTGAGCTGGTGAAATGTAATTAGTCACTGGAGGATGCTAGGCCACCAGCAGAAATAGAATTTCTACTTAGTGTGGATTTATTGCCTTTAAATGAGTTTGCACACAGTATTTGCAAATAAATATTTCACTGACATAATTGTATGGAAAAAGGGTTGGAGAGAGCAGACAGGTATATAAGTTGTCACACTTGAAACTAGGAGACTTCTCCCTATTTTGTAGAGAAATTGAAGGATCAATGCAAACAAAAAAAAAACAAAAAAAAAAACACCCCGCAAAATTGAGATCAGTTGCAGATGGAGGGAAAAAACATTTTCTTCCTAACTACAAAACTCTTGGAAGGTAAAGTGGCCTTAGATTTTGATTTAGTCTATTAAAACTGGCAAATTTGTTAGTCTCTAAGGTGCCACAAGTACTCCTGTTCTTCTTTTTGCGGATACAGACTAACACGGCTGTTACTCTGAAACCAATTTTATAGGGACAGTCCTGATTTTTGGGTCTATTTCATATATAGGCTCCTATTACCTCCCACCCCATCCTGATTTTTCGCACTTGCTGGCTGTCTGGTCACCCTATCCTGGAGGCTATTCAGACTTTTCCTCTCTCCCACAAAATAAAGAGACACACACACACACACACACACACACACACACACACACTCTATTTATAGTTGTAGTCTCAAGCAAAGTGGCATTGCTCATTAATTTTATACTTCTTTTGACATTTTTCCCTCTAAATACATATTGAAATAGATTGTATCTGCTTCAACACTGTTACACTATAGTCTTATGACAATATAACACCATTGACTTTTCTATGTAAACATGAAAGAATGCAGTGGTGAATCAGACACTTCCTCTGATTTGTATGTTTTCAAATATGTGAAGTACTATCTACTGTCTTTTTTCAGTCTGGATAACTTGATTTTTCTCTTTTATCCAAAGGAAAATTACTTGTTTTTCTTACATTTTTAGGTTGTTTTAAAATTAATCTTCTGTAAGCACCTTTAATTTGTTTTTAAACAGAATTTTTAAAGTCAGATTTACCAAGAGTTCTCAAATGTTCCAGGTAAAATCAACTGCACTATATTACTTGCCTTATGGTTGCTTAGAGTGAAGACATACTAGCTTTAGCTTAGGATGTGGATTTATCTGTGCCATGAAATCTGCAAAGGCATTTACATCCTTATTCACAATAGATCATTTTCTCTCTTTTATACATATCCTAAAACAGGTCTGAAAAGGTATTATAAGAAATAAGTATGTAGCGATGAGATAAGAACTTACACCAAAAATGTTACCTTTTAAGTATCATAAACATCAGACACAGAATGTAGTTATGTGGATATCTGGGATCCTAACACAAAAATTGGGACATGGTTTAAAAAACCAAAAAACACAGCTTTAGTATAAGCACACCACAGCAGCACTGTGCAGTAACTCAGAAAAGTGCTATACAAAACATGTAAGATGCTGTACACACAAAGGAAATACCAAGATTACCTGTATTTCAAAGAAAAATTGGATGAAGTATGCCATTTATCATGGCATGAATCTACAGTGTTAAATTTGCTGCACCTATGTTTACAGTAATTAGAGCAGCAGATGCAAGACTATATTTTGTATAACCAAGTACCTACTTTCCTCATAATGCAAAACTTACCCGACAGAGTAATAGTCTGCTCCTATACAATACTCCATTCACACTGTATTTGTACATTAAAAGATTCCTTTCTATATATGTCCAAGTTCTTTTAGTAGTCACATCTCCTAGAACAGTGGTTTTCAAACTTTTTTCCTGGGGACCCAATTGAAGAAAATTGTTGATACCTGCGACCCAACGGAGCTGTGGATGAGGTGTTTGGGGTGTGGGAGGGGCTCTGGGGTGATGCCAGGAATGAGGGGTTCAGGGTGTGATAGGGGGCTCTGGGCTGGGGCTATGGAGGAGGGGTTCAGGGTCCAGGAGGGTGCTCTGGATTTGGGGGGGCTCAGGCAGGGGATTGGGGCTCGGCATTACCTCCGGCGGCTCCCAGTCAGCAATGCAGCCAGGGTGCAGAGGCAGGCTTCCTGCCTGTCCTGGCACCGTGGACCGTGCTGCACCCCGGAAGCGGCCAGCAGCAGGTTCGACTCCTAGGCAAGAGCTAACATTAAGGACAAAACAGGCCTCTTCCTTCTGTGTAAGTATTTTCCATTTCTCAAAGATGAAATATTAGCTGAGTCCCATTCTGCATCTCTGAAGGAATGAATAAGATTTGATCCAGTCTTGAAGACAAAACTTTGGAGGATTGGAATACATTAGGAAGATTAAATCTTAGTCTCTGCTAATCACTGGCATTGATCAAGGCAATAGGCACTTAATTGGCACACCGTACAATTTTAAAATAGCTGTATGCAGACTCACAACTTTTACCCTTTTACATCTTTAAAAGTCTGCCATTCTAGTCTGGAACCCATATTAACATTTAAGAGGATGACTGAAGTCTCTCAAGGCTTTTTATTTCATACCACATATATGAAACTCTCTGGGCTTCAACTACTTTCATTGAGAACTACCTTTTCCCTAATACAATTCAATAGCATACCATGAAAAAAAGCTAACGCCAAGCTCACTACAGAATAGAAACATTAGTAACCCTGTGACAATGACTGCCAAGTTCACAGTTTATTACTTGGTTTCTCTTTTTAAAGAGTTATCAGTACAATATAGTTGTAAAAACTTACAATATAGTAATTTTTATCTGACTGGCCCTTTAGAAAACACTTATTACTGGAGGAGGGAGGGGAGGCAGGCAAAGGATGAGAAAGAGAAGGTAAGGCAGTTTACAAGTTACTCAGGTGGTGAAGCCTGTGCTGAAATAAGTAAGAGGGGGTGGGAAGAATCACTCATTTCAGATGAAAATCGAAGCAGGAGTGTACAGATCAGTTTCTCCATGGTTACTGGTGGTAACATATAGATGAAATCACTGTAGGACTAATTCCTTTTAATGGCTGTTCAAAAAGTACCCGTTAAAGACTAGTGCTAGTTCAGAAAATAGTTTATTGACAACAGACATCAGTGTGTAAGGAACAATAGTGTGTATAAAAGATTAACTTTAACATTATGGGTTTTACTACAATTGCATAAGGCTCCATTTTGTTAACAATGGCATCTCATTGTATGATCACATAATACATATGCAGTTCTAATCAATGTAGCAAACAGTGCTTTAGTATTGTGCTATTTGAAGAGTGTTTGTGTAGAACAGGTTTATAGGTCCCACAAGTTTACAGAACAAACCAAAAGGTCCTGCCCCAAAGAGCTTACAATCTAGTTTTAGAGCAGATGTAGAAAATAAGAGTAATAAACATCAGAGGGAACACAACAACTTCAGGAGGATCAAGCAGTTAATTGAGTTTAGGCATTTTCATAACTTGGTGGCTCCATTACCTTTTAAAATAAAGTTAAATTCACTTGTAGACACACAAAAGAAAGGAATCTTAATAAAGGGAGAATTTAGTTGCTTGCCAAAATCAGACTGGCAGCTATTCTATACCTAGGAGTTTTATGGAAAATGGTAAGGCCATTAGGTTCTAAAATAGCTTATTTGACCTGACCCAATGCTGTTTAAGTAAAAGTGCAAGCAAGCTTCTGTAAGAGTTTGCCTTTGCACCTCAAATCTAACCAACTTGCTTCTCCCTACCCCTTAAATCTTTAACCCCTTCTTGACCAGGTAGTGACATCTCTTGTGGTAGATAACTGATGCATTTGGTAGCTATGAATTAATCTAGATTAGTATGGTTATTTGAAATCATCTGTTTTTACAAGTATACTACATAGTGATCATAGATTCCATGTCCTCACCTTTCCCACTGTTTCTAGCGTATTCTCTTAAAGCGTCTCTCCCTCTAGTGCCCATCTTGGATGCCTCATTTGTTCACTTCTGCAACAAAGGAGTATTGAGTTGAAGAGGTCATACAGATATTTGAAATAAAGTGCTATATCACTTTTAGAAGAGGTTAATCTTAGGGTATGTCTTCACTACCAGCTGGATCGGTGGGCAGTGATCGATCCATCGGGGAATTGATTTATCGCATCTAGTCTAGATGTGATAAATCAATCCTCGAGCACTCTCCTGATGACTCCTGTACTCCAGCTCAGCGAGAGGGGCAGGCAGAGTCAACGAGGGAGTGGCAGCAATCAACTCACCATAGTGAAGACACCACGGTAAGTCAATCCAAGTATGTCGACTTCAGTACGATCGATTCCCCCCTCCCCAGGGTAGACCAGGCCTTAGCCTCTTAAATTTCAACTCTAGTAATTTCTTTTCCCTACTTTGTACCTTCAGGTTCAGTTTATAGTAATAGTCACTGCTTTGGCAAAATGAAGGTATGTTGAGCCAATATGTATCCTCTATGGGGAACAGCGTTTCAAATATCAGTGTGATAATTTTATAGTGAAGTACATGACTGAGTTCCAATGCACTTTGGGATGGAAGTGCCTCTACTTGCAGACACTTTGCTTCACACTTTAAGAACAGTTTACAGAGCACCTACTGCCTCACCGCATTCCCATCCAATATCTGCCTCTCCTAATCAATCAGGTTGCCAGAATATTAGCCTAGATAGAAATGTACTGCACCTAAAAAGGAAGATGTGAAATCTGAATTGTCACTAACATTCCAATGTGCATATGCCATACATAGCACAATAGACTTGAATTATGCAGCAAACTCCCTACGCAAACCCACCATTTACAGGCAAAAATTCACCCCCCCCCGATTAGGGTTGCAGCTATTCCAACCCCTGGACTGGAACAACCACAGAACCTTCACCACAGAGGCCTGTGGGGATGCACACAAAAGCAGACCCATGGGCTGAGCGGAATTCCCAGCTGACCTTCCCCAGAGGCCCAGACCAACTCCACAACACCCTCTTTGTGCTGCTGCTGAACCAACCAGCTTATGTGGTGCAGAAGGTCCTGGGTCTGGTCTCCCCATTGTAAATTTCATCCTTTAAGAGTAGGGTAGTTGAGAAACTGAAGAATCCCACTCATATCTTAGGAGATACACAGAAAAGGAGGCTGGAAAGAGAGGGGCCAGCTAGTCAGGGATTCCTGCCTCACTGCCTACACACCAGGCTCTGCACCAATTGTAATTTTGATCACTCTGCTATGCCACACTCCTGTACAAGTTAGGAGTTTGCTTGACTTTGGTCCATTGCTGGCCTCCAGCCATCCAAAGTAATGCACTCATTCACCTCGACCCTGAAGAATAAGGGGGGTGGGGGCGTGGGAAAGGCTTACTCGACCATTTTAAGATTAAAATGCCTCCTGTTCTGCGGGGTAACCTAGTCCCAAGATCTACAGCCAGGTCCTCAGTTGTCTGCAGCATATTGGAAGTTCCTTGGCAGACTCGTAATTTCAGAAATTGATGTTCAAGTGAAAGAACATGATCTTGCCTTATTCTTTATTGCACAATTTTATGAAAGCTAAGTACCAGCTGTAATACTCACTTTTACTGAGACATAGCATGTATCTTGAATGGCAAAATAACTTTTTAAATGAAGATTTACTCTGCAAAAGTGGCTTCATATTAGTTTGAAGGAAAAAAAGGAAGATAAGTTACTTAAAGCCAGAGGAGCAATAACCACACATTGCAGGACTTATTGAGAATTACAAGAATCAGTATTATGTTGACTAAAACCCACAACTTTCCACTAAGTTCACCACTGAACAACAAGAATGCTGCTTGTCCAGATTCTTAAGACTGTGTTCCTAAATAAATGAACAAGAAGTATGCTACAGTGAGACACCTTAAAATCTATTAAAATGTTGCAGCTTTCCACAGCTTTAGCATCCTGTTTCCCCATTTATGTCGCTGCCCCTTCCCCCCCTTACAGGGAAGGTGGTGTAGCCTCACAGAGAAAAAACAGATTAAAAAAAAAATAGCAAAGGTGAAAGCATAATGTCAAATAGAAAATAGGAGTCATACAAACACAAAAGGCACAAGAATTCCTCCCCAACTGTTTTTCTTCCAATTTGCACCTTAACCCACCAAGTGAGTTGGGATGTGAATACAGAATTGCTAAACGTAAAACAGTTTTTGTAAACTGGACCTGACTCAAATCATGTTACATGTCCAAGCAGGGGAAGGAAGCCTCCTGAGTAATTAGAAAACATACCAAGAGACTACAGGTCTGGCTTTAGGTCAATCATGATTAGCTGTTGTCTCCTGTGCGGCCCCCACATTAACTATGCAATTCAAGGTTTGCTACATTGTTTTACCAGAGGAATTTTATACTAAAGCCTCAAAACATTTTAATTATTTTCAAGAATGGATAAAGACATGAGTGTCTATTACTATGCAAAAGCTAAGCATAATAGCTTCCAGCTTTGTTTTAAACTCAGTGTAGTGGGCAGTGAAACAATACAATGCTTTGGCTTTTCAAGTAACTTCTAAGCTGGAATGTATCTCAACCTCCTATGTGTAATTCAGAGGATACACAGTGGATTCATGGGGGAATTCTATGCACAATATTTTAAAACTGCATATTTTGTCAATAAACATGGAGGCTTCAGCGTGACAATGGAAAGCACAGACCACTGGCTGCAGAGGTGAGAGATCACCCTGCAGCTCCGCCATGGTAACTCTGAGGCTGCACCCGAGCCCGATACAGTGCAATGGCTGGCCCTGCCCCAGAAACACCACAGGGCCCTGCCCCTCCACACCAAGCACACCAGGATAGCAAGGGAGAGGGAGTCTCTTGCATGCATGCCCAGCCCTGACCCAATCCAGGGGTAGGGCAAATAGGCTCAGCCTGGCAGGATCCATGTGTGGAGGAATCCAGGGCTGGGGCAATCTGGGTGCAGGCAATCTGGATGCACAAAGGTTCATTAGGGATTCCGGGTGCAGGGGGCCTGGGACTCTGCAGGGGTCCTAGGTGAAGATGGTTGGAGATCAGCAGAGAGTCTCAGCAGGATGGTGTGGGTGATGGGGATTGGTGGGATAGGGGGGTCCAAGCACCAGGAGGGGGGGGGAGGGAAACTCAACAGAAGCCCAGATGCAGGGGGTTGAACCAGATGGGGTAGTACGGGTGCAAGGGGACTCTGGATACAGAAGGTGGGCTCAGCAGAGGGTGGGGGTCCTGGATGCACAAGGGTTGCACCTCCCCATATAGACTCCTCCCCCTGCAGCTGAGGAACAACAGGGACAGGAATTGGGATGAAGGTGGGAAGAAGAGGGTGTGTGCGCGCAGAGCTTTATGACGCTGAGGGAGGTTTCCGGGGCTGGGGCTGACCTGGTCCCAGCCCCTCCTTGCAAGGGAAGAGGAAGTCCCATCCAGGACTAGCAGCTGAGCCCAGGACAGGGGAGGAGCCACCAGTTGGGGAATCCCCAGCCTCACAGTGCTTTCTCTCTCCACTGGCTGCTCTGGGCACCTGAAACAATACGCCCTGGTTGCTGGGGAGGGGTCATGTGACAGTTCTTGCAGCTTCCTTTTGCTTCCCCATCAGAAAGTAATTTTTCCTGCAGGGAAGCAGAGAGATCTACAGGGGACATGAATTCTGCGTGCACACCGTGGCACAGAATTCCCCCAGATGTAATATTAGACACAGAAAGCAAAAAAAGAGAGTCATCTTGGGTTTTGGTAGATAACAGTTTTGCATTGCATCTTACATGCTAAATGCAAAGCTGTTTCTAAATAGGACAGCTATTGTTTAACAAGTTTTGACTCATCTGAATTGTCTTAAGCAATTAGTTTTCAAAGACAATTAGAAGAAACTCTCTCATACAGGGTGATAAAAATTGCAGCCAATAAACTACTTATTTAGAAAAATAAACTTTGTCCAAAAATCAAAGCAGCTTCTTGAATGTGTCATGCTGTTTCTCCCAGCAGAGAAAAAGTACATGTGGGTGAATGATTACTTAGATATGCAAATTATATCAATATGGTTGTCAAGTTGTTTTCATCTCCCTCAAAATGAAATGTATGTTTTCAAAAGGCTTAACTTAGCTGTATATAAACAGTGTTGTTATCAACACACATTAAGTTTATTAATCATTACACTAGAACTACTTTGGTATAAAATATTTTTATTTTAAAGCTATGAAAATTATTTTAAAAATATATATTTAATGTTTCTATTCACAGAACATTTGCTATTTCATAACATTAGTGGTCTGCTTTTCCTAGCCCGCCTGAATTTTATTCAAGATATTTACAGACATTTATTACTATCATTTTATATTTTTAAAAACCCCAGCATTACAGGACGCTGTACTAACGGAGATGTTTTATTTTCAGGATTCATTTAACCTATAGATTTTTAATGAAGCCAGAAAAAGCAATTATTTTCTGATGATTCAGAATTTCTTATTTCTTGAAGCATGTCTGTGGTTGACCACTTCTTCATTTGTTACCTGCAGCATGGCACCTTCCTGCCAAAGGAAAACAAAAATAAAGTGTATCTGAAGAGGTTTATCATGTATGTCTATCCATATTACCTATGGAAGAACTTCAGCAGTTTCAAAAATTATAAACAATTCATTAGTGTGCAGAACACAAAAGGAATACACCTTTGATTAGTTGTATACCTGTTCTTTAGGTGTGCAGCCTGTTTCAAGCAAGGAAACCAATACAAAAAATAAACTAGGGGCTAGATTCTACCAATTTACACATGCTGAGTAGCATGATATCATGTAAAATCTTTCTGATTTCAATGAGAAGAGTGTAAGGGTGACAGAATCTGGCACTAAGATTTATTAGCTGTAAGAACTAGAAGAGACCGTGGAAACCTCAGTATCCTAGCCAAATTCCAATTTAGGTAATAACATTCTGCATATATATAAAATTCCACCTGTAGTTACAATTGAAGAAGTTTTCACTTGTCCTCCTAAAGAAATACTATGCAGCATTAAAGAAGAATGGATGTCATATTCCTTACTAGAGGTAGATGCATTTCAGTAGTGAAGAAAATTCTCTATTATATAAACAATCTAAAGTTACTTGGGATCCTTCAGGGTGCAATGTGCTACATAAAATACTGAAGCCAGAATAGACAGATGCAGTACATTTCACTTCCAACAGCATAACACTATTGTACAGCTACTCTATCTTCATTGCACTTGTAACCATCAAAATCCCAAGAAAAATAAAAGGTTGCAAAGTGTAAAGAAAGTTTTATAATTTAATTAACTTGTGACCTACCATTTTAAACTACCAACACCAGGTATGGAACCCTTGCAAAACTTTACTAATGGACACTTGCAGGTCTCATTTGTTCAACTGTAGCAGTGTACAGTAGCAGCAGTCTATGCTTGTCGATGGCTCATATCAAAGCTAGATTCCAGTAGGAAAAAAATATGTTAAGTAGCTGAAATTTAAAAAAACATGTCAAAATTTAATACAAGAAAAAAAGATGGGATTCACAACATTCTCTTCAGTTGGTAATGGTTAACTCAATTCATTGCTATGTTAAACTACATATGATAACCACTATACTGAAAGAGACTGTCATAGTATTAGTTTCTTGTTTTTGGAACATTAAGAAAGGAAAAGTAAATAAGATCTTACCTAAAGAAGTTTAACTGAAGCTTAGAACTATTTTGCTCTACACCCTCAGCCTTCGTTGGCATCCTTATAAAACTACGGTAGTTAAAGCTTTGCAGAAATACAGCGCAGCTTTTTAAGACTGGCTGAACTTAGTGCCGTTTTCAAGAGTTCTCTTGTACTAGACCTGTGTCCCTGGAAGAGTACCTCGCTGGGGATATTTCCTTTCCTTGCCATTGAAGAAGCAGCATCTAAAAGATCTAAAAAGGTGTTTCTCCTTGCAGAGATATCCCTTAAGTTATCTAGATATTTTAAACCTGATAATTTACAGACAACATACTTTTTCTGACCAGCATTTAATTTTACATGTACAACAACAGCTTTGTATTATTTGTGGGACCTTATACTACCCACTCCTTGCCTTATTTTACAATATATATTTTTTAAAAAAAAATCTATAATTACACAGTATTTCCTTTAGAATTATTTTATTAAATCAAATGTACAACAGCTTCTTAACTCTACACACGCACTTAAATTTTTTAAAAGGAAAACGTTATGTCTTATTACACCATGATCCTGGCTAATAGTTTTTCAAAACTTTGAGAAAAATCTTAAAAAAGGTTTCACATGTCACCTGAAACTTACAAATTTAACATTATCAAAGGAATGCTTCTACACTCTTACAAAGACCACTAGAAAGAAACAACAATTAAAAAGCTAAGAAACTGTCTCAAAGGCATTTTTACAATCCTTCCTCCACAGTAAGGTAATGTTATTAAATAATCCAATCCATTCACAAAATGGCTCTCTGCATCTGCTCTGGTGTCTTCTGCCATATCACTGCATATTTATGCATGACTGAGTAAGTGTTTCCTTAACATTGTTATTTCGATAACCTGAAGCTGTTCTGTTACCTCTGGGCTCTCATCCTCTCCTATTTATACAGTGAAGCCTGTTTCAACAGAAGTAAAGAGTAAAAAATAGGTTATGAAATTATCCATCTAATGAATTTTTAAAGGAAAGATAATATGATCCTAAAAAGCTTTTACTCCTGCAGCTAAGTCTCAAGAAACACTGCAATTTTAGCACTTATAAAGATACTTACCCATGGCAAGTTTGTAGAAGCTCAGTAACGGCTCCTCCCTCCATATCCACCACTTCCTCCACTGCCTCCTGGACCATAGTTTCCTGCATTTTTGGAACAGGATAGAGGACATTTACATCTTTATTTTTTTAAACCCAGGCACATTTACTGTATATTTACAAGAAGATTATATTCAGTTTAATTCAAGAGGACAATGTGCACATCACCTTGAATATAAAGCTAACATGTAATTGTCCTCTATGAGAGATTATCCCCCCCAAGAACTGTCTTGATAATCACATTTTGAAAACAGAACAAGATTCTTGCAGCAAGAGAAATTCCAATGGTTTAAACATATAATCAAATAAGGAAATTCATGCTGCACACTCTTGGGGCCTGATCATGCAACAAGTATTATGTGGGTACATCAGTCCACCCACACACTACACCTTAAAGAAAACTGGTCTGAAGTAAATTTCCCTTTGCGTGCTTTGCACATGTAAAGCATTATTGCTTAGAAGCTACAGAGGGTCCTGTGGCACCTTTGAGACTAACAGAAGTACTGGGAGCATAAGCTTTCGTGGGTAAGAACCTCACTTCTTCAGATGCAAGACTTCTTGCATCTGAAGAAGTGAGGT